TATATGGTGTTTGCTGGTTAAAATAATGGGAGGGCTTTTACAAAAATTTACCCATTGCACAGTGAAAAAAGAGGTGAAAAAACCCTGTTTTGAGCAATGTTGGATAAAATTGAGGAAAAAAGGTTTCCCTGGTGTGCAGGGGTCTCACTGCCCTCCCGCACCCTGGGATGGTGCCCAAGGCTGAGCTGAGTGGAGCCAGGGAAAACACTGAGGACAATTTTGAGCCAATCGGGAACTTCCAAGCTCTCACATGGGGTCAAAGTTTCTGGAATGTTCCTGTTCCTCTCTGTAAGACTCTGAGAGTCCATGGGATTTAACAGCTATGGGATTTAACCTCCCCTAGAGAAAGAGCAATATTGTCTTGTCCTCTTTAAAATCTCTTAATTAATGAGCAGCAGTGCAAAACCCAGCCCATGAAACAAACAAACAAACAAAAAACCCCCTAAAAAATCCCAAACCCACTCCCCAAAACCCAGAAAATCCAAGTAAGCAACCAGAAATGTAACTGTGATGAGTGTGGTTGTGTTACTCAGCTAAAACCCACAGGTTTGTGGGAGTTTCTCTGACATTGGCCCAACATCACCAGAAATCCTGGATAAATATGGGATCAGATTTGTGGGGATGTGCATGTGTAAAGTCCAATCCTTTGCCACTGAAGTATTAATTTTATAATTAATTAACTCAGCAGACAGTGAGGTTTTTATTATATAAATACAATATTGAGATGTAGGCACTTCAAATGTATTTTACACAAGCCTGGTGCCGAGGAGCACAGAGCCATTCCAAGGGATGGGAGATCCATGGAAACCCTTCTAGAACCTTCCCTGTGGGTCTGCCAGGCTGAATCTGAGCCTGTGGTGTATCCATCTGAGGAACTGTAACCAAATTTTCATCTCTCTTGCAGTTACCACACTCCAGTTTGGCTTCCTGGAGCAACCTGCCTGTTCCAGCTGGAGCAATCAAGGGATTACAGGAAACCACAGGTTAAATAAAATGTTCTTTTAATGATCACCCCCCAAATACCCAAAGGCACCAGTCAACACCGTGGACTAATGACCTACAAATTGGTGGGATTCTTACACATTTGTAGCATTACAATATTTTTTCCACAGCTTCAGATGGCACATTAAGAGGAATATTTCATCTGCAACAGCTTTGTCCTGAATGCCCTTCCATGTGATTATTTAATAGAAAAAGGATCAAACCAAAACTGAGCTGGCTGCCCTCCTTGCTCCAGGTATTTCTGCAGCTCATCTTGAATCCACACCTGAATAATTCCACATTTATTTCCAATTTATCACTGTAACTCCTCTAACACCACCCAAATCCCCTCACAGATCCTCAGGCTCCAGGTAACACACGGAGAGGCAACGCCTGCACTGAGGACAATTTGCATTTCTTTTATCCATTGCAAAAACCTCTGTAACGTGTCAAGTATAAAGCTCACAAAATACATTTTAAAGGAACTACCATAAAGTATTTGCTTCAAATAGACCTTTTACAACAAAACACAAAGTTCAAAGGACATTTTTTTTTTTAAGGAAAGCACTTGAAACTGTAACACTTAGGTCCTGACAACATTAGATTACTTTAAGCTGTAAACCCTAAAAAGTTTTGTGATTAAATAAAATCAGCATTACAATTTCCAGGCATTATAATCATTGAACAGATTGTAACAACGAGATATAATTATAATGCAAACATGAAGCTCAGGAGACTGGCACTGAGAAAACTCTCAATTCTTTGTAGATTTAGATCTGCACATGATAAAATCAGTAACAACTGGAGAAGAGGTTCCAATATGTCATCCTACACACTGATGTCAGTGTTTTCCAAACAGCAGTCAATACATCATCCCCTTTTTAATATTACTTTTCAGAGTCATTATGACCTTGAACAAAAAAAGCCCCTCCAGGTCAATTGCTGCTGCCAGGTATCAATAGAACATCTGGAAGGAAATAATTAAAACCATAGGGTTTTGTTAATTGCCCCTGTAGGTGTAGATACACGAGATTTTATATATGTAAGGCTAAATAAATTACATATATATATATATATATATATATATATATATGCTTACATATACAAAATCACAACCTCAACCCTCAGAACTGAACTACCTCTAGGTAAGAAATATAAGACCTTTTTCCATAAATTTAAAGGGTTTATTTATACCTGAGAGATTTTTGCATATTGATGTCTTTGTACCTTTGCCTGTAGGTGCTCCCCTAAGTCTTTCCTCTGTCCTGGGGTACAAAGCCCATTGCAGCCAGGTGGGTTGTTCCCACCCAGCACCATGGACTTTGGCTGAGCCCTTCCTTACCTAACCTGGATCATCAGAGAGGTGACAGAATTCAATATATACCTAAATAAAGTTCTGTACAAGTGCACAGGCTGGTTTATACAAATCCACAGCGAGTTCACCACTCCTGATACTTCCACAATATCTGATTTCAAAAGTATTTTAGTGCTTTACCCAATGCATGTTTCTACTTGTTGGTTAAAAGAACACCTTGGTGAAGAATTTTTCTGGGTTTTGGATCACTGGCCATGCAAGACACGCTGAAAATGCTCCTTCCTGCCTGATCTGTTCCCTGGTTCTTGGGAAGATCAACCCATTTTTCCACCCAACAACCACGGAAACCAGGAGTGGAGGAGTAATAAATCAATGTGGCAACACTACATTAAGGTCACAGGTCAGTGCAGATGCACTGAGACTTTCCAAAAAATCTAAAGAGATTAGGAGCCCCCTCCCTCCTGAAATTTAAGGCATTTGGATGCCTGATTCCCACAGATTCCCCAGTCCAGCTCTCAGCTCCTCATCCCTGCAGATCCCAAGCAGTAGCAGGGACATGACCCACGTAAGGCTCTTACAGAATTTCACAGTGCTATTTAACATGGCAAACACCAAACTAAATGGAAAAGTTCTCTTTGTCATCCCAACAGTTCAATTAAAACAGAAATGAAAGGAATCCACCATGTCTCATTCCATTTGGCTGCTGACAGGGGGAATTCCCTCAAAGTGCTTTTTGCAAACATGGTGTTACCATAGCTGATCACAGAACAATTAGAATTGATGGTTTCATTAATTATAGTTTAACCAATGGAAAGATCTTGGTGGAAGTGGAATAAAGTGTGCTTTCAGACACCAAATTGGACATACCTGAAAAGTCAGCAAAAGTAACAGTACTCTATTCATGAAAGACATCACAAAATAATTCAGATTCACCAGCAAACCCTTCTTATGTTGTAGAAATACCAATTTTTTGCACTGTATTTTACAGAAAAAAGTTGACTTTAGTGATGATGGTCTTTGAACAATCCAAATGTACAGCAATATAATGGGGAAAAGGGAAGCTACATTTCACTGGCAATCAGACTTCACAGACCTTAGAAAATTTAGAAATGTTTGATTCACAACAGCACATTTATGGACCACATTTCTCCGTAAAATAAATCAAACTCTTGTGCCCAAGTAGAAGAAATTCCCAAGGTGTGACATCTGTTGTAAATGGATGCAATGCACCCACTGCTCTGGAGCAGGAGGAGATGAGGATGAACAGTGACAGGGACAACACAGTGACACACAAATGTAAGAAACTCTACAGCTTGCATTTCCAGTTGGCTGTTCCCATTTTTTACCCACACCCCTTCCAAACCTCCTTTTCCTGCTAGTCCTTCTTGTTCCTTTTCCCATGTGTGGTTTTGGTGACCCCACCTTAGATCCATCTGTCCCAAACCTGCTCATCCTGGAGCAAACCCTCTGCCCATTGCTGCTACAAACACTCTGCACCCCCAGGGCGTGTTTCCCTTTCCATGCTTCCCTTTCCATAATTTAGGAGCTCTCTGGCACCATTTCCAGCATTTCATGGAGCAACTGGCACAGGGAGGCACTTATGTGACATGTTTAAAACTTATCTTTGGTAAACACTCACACACACACACAGATGTGTAACTCATGTTTTGCTTCCTGATGGTAAATCCTCGTTTGCTACCGGTGGATGTGTGCAGGTATCTAAACACAGACAGGACTTTACCAGTATAAAACAGTTTTTCAAATGCCACTGCCAAGGATTTGTTTTAATTCACCTAAAAATAGCGCCAGTCCTGGGCTTTTGGAGTTTTTTCCTGACTCTGTTTGTTATGCATTAAAGCAGCTGTGATCAATAACAAATTAGTGATAGAAAGTGAGCCCATTCTGCTCAATTTTCACCCCCTTTCTCATTCTCTTGCCTTGGTTTTCAAAACCAATTTCATCAGAATAGTTGTACTTCTTACAGCTTTTGTTATCTGTGAGGCACATTCTGGGCTCTGATGCTGCCTGATTTGAGCAGCCAAATCTTTCCCTGGGATCAGTGGAAATTTCAGATACACAAAATGCTGAGTCTGTTCTTGGTAGGGGCATTTCCTGCTCACCAGTATAAACCAGTACTCTGGGGAGGGAAGAGACCCCGAGTCTCTGACTGACCTGAGGAATGATCAGCCACCAAGAGAGGGCCCAGCAACGTGGGTTTTCAAAGATGCAGCAAATAAATGTTGCTGGAACTGAATGGATAAAACCAAGGGATGATTGACTTTGACGTACTCAGAGCACTGTCCCTTCTAACATCAGGCATTTCTACAGAGAGGTATTTCATTGGCTTCGGTTTTCATTGACACCATGTAGACTTTTCATAATAATTTTTTTTCTTTTTTAGAACCCAGAACTTAGTGCATTTCATTTTTATAAAATTAGAATAATTTATACCCTTCTCTTTTCATTGCAAAAAAATACAGCCCAAACACACATCAAGGTATAAACACTTCACAAATGACAGACACTTCACTTATTTCACCTGCTTAATGGTGAGTTAGACATTGACCAACCAAACAACTTTGGCAACTTGCACAAAAATATGTCCTTAACTCAAAAGTGCTGATAAAACTCGCTTTAATGAGGCCTTTATTAAGGAGAGAACTGGAAAGAGAGGAGTGGTGAGTGCTTGGAGGTCGGAGCGTTCCTACACCATCCCGCTCTGTAGCTGTATGTGGAAAGGGTACGGCTGGTAGAACACAGGGGGTTGTCCATGGGCAATGTAGTAGTTGCTGAAGTTTCTGTCACTGATATAGGGAGCAGGCTGATAGTAGCACGTGACATTGGCCGCGTTCGGGATGATGTTCTGTTCTCCGAGCACTTTTAAAGCCAGGATTGTGATCATATTGAGGGTTTGCCTTCGCTCGTGCCCCATGAGGCAGACTGTGCTCTTGTTCACCACCCCACGCAGGGTCATCAAGTAGTCGTACTTGCTCTTCTCCTCCCCGATGAAGTGGTTGCGCAGGTACGACTCGATTTTCCTCTGCTGCTCGGCAACGTCGGGAAAATCAATGAAGAACCTGGAGCACATGTAACGTTCCAGAGATTTAATTTCAGCCTCATCCGCTGGCTTAAAGTCACGGACCAGGAGGTTGCTGTACTTCAGGAGGCCGCCTCCCCTGATCTCCTCCGGGTTCCGGGTGGAGATCAGTTTGTATTTCAGGTGGTCCATGGCTTGGTTGAAGTCCCCGTACATGCTCTCGGCGATGACGGCGGGGTGGCAGTCCTGTGTCAGGGGCCGGTCTGAGGCTCTGTAGATGGCCAGGATGGAGTCCAGGATGATCTGGAAGGAGTCCACGCTGAACTCGAACTGCCGCCGCAGCGAGCTGACGAACTTCAGCTCCACGTTCTTGCCGCTGTTGTTGGACAGTGAGATGAGGCTCCAGCGGTCGTGGTCGGTGGAGACTTTGACCATCTTCTGTACGTAAGCATCTTTCATGGTCTGAGCTGTGATTTTTTGCTTGTTAACACATTTTGGCAAGAAGTCCAATAGGCAATTGAGAACTGCTTCCTTAACGACCTGGAATTCGAGCTCACTGGGAAGTTCCACTCCAAAAATGATGTCCAGGTCCTTGTAACTGGTGCCATTGTGCTTCACCAGGATGTGACTGGCAGTGGAACCGTTCAGGCGGATGTCCCTGACATGGATCTGCTTCTCAATGAGCTGCTCCTTTACCATGTCGATTATATCCTTCGGCTTTACCTCCAGGGTTGGAAAATTTCCTCTCCCATGAATAGGTATAGCCTCAGTCAAAACCTGATCCAGGATTTTAATCTGATCCCAGGTGAGATAACTGAATCTGTGGTCCAAGTCCTCAGTCATTGTGATATTGGTTGGCTAAATAGGGAGAAAGAGGAATTAGAGGCAAATGTTAGAACTTTCTGGAATACCAGTGAGGACATTTCACTTGGTTATACCAAACTTCCTCCCTCAGTGTAATGACAGAGCTGTTCATTTTAGAGACACAACCCCAGTTAATGGTCTGAGTCAACCACTGCACTTGTCACAGGCTTTTAATTGAATTTTAATGTACTCAGGTTTTAATCCTGCTGAGAAGCCATCACGTTATTGTATAACCCATGACTCAAAGTAAATGCAGCAAACCATATAGACCCAATTTAAAACTACTCAAAGGTTAATAACACAAAGTACTAGGTGGTTCTAATGGAAGTCCAAATGAATTTCACCGTGAAGAGATAAAACAAGCAAAATGATCAAATTTGTTCTTTCTGTCCTGCCTAGACATCTCCCTTGATCTTCAGTGGCTTGACTACTTAAAAGTACTAAAAGACCAGGAAGTTTTTTTTGTGAAAACCGGGAATGTTGCAACCTGCTGCCTGTTTATCCAGCCATATGCCTTGGATGAACTTTGGTCTCTGTGGATCATCTAAACACACACATCCTTTAATATCACTTGTGGTTTAAGGATTGGTTATCTGATAATTGTCAAGTTGTTTCCATGATGTTTCTGTGGAAAATATTCCCCTTCTAAGCCATAAGCCATGTTTTGCATTAATGTATCAATGCTGCAAGTCGTGGTTTGCAGATACGGTGAGAAAACCCCTTCCAGTCTTGTGGAAAAAGGACGTCAAGGAAGAAGCACCTACAGAATACATGGGATAAAGCTCAGCTTTGGGAATTTCTCAGTTTAAAATGATATCTTGAATTCATAGCATCACTTTTAACAAGGAGATGAGACACTCAGGTGGTGGCCAGGTGGCATCTGAAGGGGCTCAGTGAGGCACCAGCCGGGTGGAAGGAGTGCCTTTGGGAGTCTGCCAGCACCCAGAACCTGCTTCCGAAACACCCCCGAGTGTTTCTGCAGCCAGATGGCTCAAACATATTCTTTCAGCCAAAGCTCAAGAATAAAAATAAAGTAAAATCATACTAAGTAACAACACTACTGAAAAGTCCCCACTGTTGTTTCTCTAACCAGTGGTGACTCCATATGTACGTTGTCATACATTCCCCTTCCCTCGCCTTCAGATTCCACATTCTGGAATATTTTAGTAATTTCAAGTAACTTGTGACTGCCAAATGGCTTGGGAATATGGCAGAGCTCTATTTCAAATACTTCTGCTGGAATTTCAGCTCCCATTAAGCTGATCAGGAGCATGTGTAATTCCAAGCACCTTCCTGGCCTCATGACAAAGAATGGGACTAACCAGATGTTTGAAGCTGAAGGAATGTTTTAAAAGTTGGCTAAAGCAGGACTGAAGTTGGGAATTTAATTGACAGTGTGAAGGTTTTGGAATCAGTCCCATAGGTCTGGCACAACCATGTAGCTCCTGGCATTGTGTACCTAGTGTATAATTCCATATCCACAACAGGTATGTTTTCAGGTGTATTCAGAAATATCCACATTTTCCCTGCAGGCATTTAGAGGACACAACATTTGAACTGAAAAGGAGAGAAACTGCCCTCCACAGCACTGCCAATTTTACATGCTAATGATTTCACCATTGAATATTCATTAGAATTCCAAGCTTATTCATTTAAAACTATAGCTATGCATCCTTCAGAGCCTTTATGACAACTCAGTACAAGTCTATCCTAAAAACCAGCTTTTACAGAGAGCTAACTGCTAATTCTGGAAGTGGGACAACCTTGGGTGGAGACAGGTTGGAAGGAGAGGGTTTTGTTCAAATGTTTTATGCTGCCATGTTGTCACCTGAGTCATTCATACAATCACAGAATTAAGGTTGGAAAAGACTTCCAAGACTATCAAGTCCAGCTTTTTATATGCCAGATTATGGTGGACCAGCCCAAATGGTCCCCTAGCAAACTTAAAATTGTCAGAATTGTTTTCTAAGCAGTAGTTTTTATTATGGCATTTGTCTGATATCGCAAAACCTTGACCTTTCTGAGGCTGATGCTGTGACATAAAAAAAAAAGGGAGCAGAGAAAGGAGTGTTGAAATTCAACCCCCTTTTAGCAGAGGGACCCTCTTCAAACACTTGGAAAGTCAGAAGATGGACGTATCCCCAAATAAGCTTAGAAATCCTTCCTTTATTGCTACATGTTTTTAGGTATTTCAGATGTTATTGCAATACACTGAGGTTTGAAACTGAAAGGAGAAGGTAATGTCAGTAAATCTCTCTTTTGTGTTGAAGAGGCATCCCTCAAAATGTCATTTCTCTGAAGTGATTCCTGGAGAATCTGAGGAGGCTTTGGGAGCTCAGTCTCACCATTAATGTTTTATGATAAATATTAAAAAATTCTGTGCTGAAATAACACCTTCAACTCTGACAAGTGAGGAAAATGGCTAGGAAAAAAACCCCAGGAATTCAGTTTTCAAAATTATTTAAAAAAATATTTTATTTGCAGTTAAACCTAAATAAATATTATTAGCAGTAGTAGTATTTTTTATTATGTACTAATTTCCTACCAGTTTGCAATCTAGTACTTTAACCCTGCACTCTCCTAGAAAGATTTAATTTTGTTATTTTCTTCAATCTTGTCTGGCAAAAAGAACAATTTCCAGGCACTTTTATAGTCATTAGGAACCTGATTCTCAAAGCAGGAGCAAATTTACTTACTGAGGCGCTCAGGTTAATGCCAGGAGTTATTATTAATGTAATTAACCTCAGTTACAATACATCAGCAGCAACACCGAGGTTGTAATTAGTCCAAGTGTTGTGTAAAACAAGAGATCCTGGGATGAAGGGAAGGAAACTCCCTGCACGTGACCACAGCACCTGGATGAAGCCAAGCACAAGCGAGTACTGAGCTGGTTAATTAGAAAAGGGGCTGGAAAATCACTTTATTCCTTGGAAACTGCTGCTGTATGCAATGGAGGATGATCAGTTTTCACAGGAAGAGAGTGATAGGACAGGGGAATGGTTTTAAAGCAAAATAAGGGAGGTTTAGATTAGAGACATTCCTCCCTGAGAGGGTGGGGAGGCTCTGGCACAGATTCCAGAGAAGCTGTGGCTGCCCCTGGATCACTGGCAGTGTCCAAGGCCAGGCAGGACAGGGCTTGGAGCAACCTGGGGTAGTGGAAGTGGAACTGGAAGCAGATGATCTTTAAGGTCCCTTCCAACCACGCCATCCTGGGATTCTGTGATCCCTGGATGCAGATTCCTCACTGGCACCCCCAGTCCCAGCTGTCCCTAAGCCTTCCCTGCTGCACCCTGCCAAAGAATTCCCTTTGTGAAACTCCTTCCACACAAATACCCCAAAGCATCTCAGGTGTTCCACACTCAGGGTTTTCTTGTCCTAAACTCCGCATGTGTGCAAATGGAAGCTGCACAAACATCACCACCATGGCAGTGAAATTCAAAAGAGGGTGTTTTTTCCACACTTCATCAATATTTTAATTTACTGAGATTCTCTCCTAGTGATTTTTCGTGAAGTTTTGTTGTTTATGGATTTTAAAATGTTACCATAAACTGCAATAGACCTTGAATCTCGTCTGATTTAAGATCTCTGCCAGAAAAAAGGATGAGGAAAAGCAGTTTTCAGGGTGTTTTCTTTTACATACACTGGCTAGAGAAGTGCAGAATAAGATGGATCAGACCCAGTCAAGTCTTATGATATATCATTCTTATTATAAGGTTAGAAAAATATTTCCCTGACTCAACTTCCAACTTGTCCTTGAGTGGTCACCTTCACCTGATACGGCAATCACAATGTGGAAAAATGTTTGGATACTTAAACATAATATTGTTAAATCATATCATTTATTTTCCTATTGAAATTAGAGGCTCTAATTTTCTTTTTGGAGCAAGAAACTCTTGAGTTTGGGCTGACAATGATGCTAAAATGTTTCATTAACCACCTCTTAGCACTCCACTGTGCATGAGCTTCATCAAAAAAAATCCAAGCAGATCTGGCTTTACATCTGAATGAAGCAAATCTGCCATGCTAATGACAGCTTTCATGTTCCCCACAACTTTCACAGAAACAGATACTTGCAGTCTAGAGAACAGCCTCATCAAATTTAGCTCACATTTTACTGATAAACTGTTTAGATTCTCTTTTTATATATTCCATAATGTTGATTCAGTGTGTTTTCAAAGGGTTTGCCATGTGCTGGCATTTTCAGGCAGGATACAGCTGAAATAGGTTTTGTGCAGCTGTGGCAGCTCCATCCTCTTCCCTTTGCATCTATCTGCTCCCATGTTTTTCTGTTTACAATAAAGGTTGGCAATATTTAAATGCTTCAATTCTTTTTACTTTGCACTTGAAACTGGTTGTGCAGGGACCTCTCACAGATCACAGAACTCCAGAAAGAGGTTGGAAAAGCCCTCCAAGTCCAGCCAGTGCCTGATCCCCACCTTGTCCCCAGCCCACAGCTCTGAGTGCCACCTCCAGTCCTTCCCTGGACACCTCCAGGGATGGGGACTCCAAACCTCCCTGGGCAGCCCCTGCCAAGGCCTGGCCACCCTTTCCATGAAGGAATTCCTGCTGCTGTCCAACCTGTACCATCCCTAGCACACCTTGAGGCTGTTTGCCCTCATCCTGTCCCTTGTTCCCTGGGAGAAGAGGCTAAAAAAGAAATGCAGCAAAATGTCTTGGGAGCTGCTGTGGTGGCCTTGTTTTGGGGGATCACTCCAGAAACACCCACAGAAATTCTGCCATTCCTCTTATTTCTGCACTGGTTTTCCTGCTTACACATTATATACATCACTGTGTATGTCCATGATCTCCTGCTAAAGCTTTATTTTAATTCAAAGATCCATTTCTTTATTAAGCTGGACATTTGGAAATATTTTGTTCACTTACTTCAGAACTGCAGCTGGCATAAGCTCCAAAGGCAGGAATGTCAAATATGGAGGGACTTCCAGTCGTAATTGAAACCCAGATGAGACAAGGAGAAG